GATATTTCTATTTGGTCCCATCTATCTTCATCCGTGTTCATCCTCCAGATCCTGAGGGTGATTTCAAATGCTCGGTACACATATACACACACTTCACACCTCTCGTTCTAATAGCCTAGCATTCTAGTCTGCCAACTGCTTTGAGCAAAAAAATGACTATTATTCTCAGCCCAGAGGTGTAAGGGTGGTGTTTTGGTCAAACAATAAGAGCAAAGATGTATTATTCTTCTGGACCCGTCCATGTTTTGGGTTAATGGGGGTTAACTTTCTAACTTCTATTCCCCTCTTTGTTCCTCAAAATTGGAGGAATAATTTATCGTGGGCACACGCAGACTAATGAAGAAGAGTACAGGTGTCTTTGAAATGGTAACCTTCTGAAACCACAAAAACTGCTTAATTAAAAGAATGAACTGTAGTCCTCAAGGTCAAGGGTGGGTTTGCTGCTCTGCCTCTTAGCACTCCTCTGAGAGCCCTGCTTGGCTGTGTTCCACGGGACGGGTCTTGGCTGTCAACATAAGACATCTCTCCATTTGTTTGTGTCTTTGATTTCTTTCATGAGTGTTTTGTAGTTGTCTGAGTATGAAACTCTATAATATTTTGTTAGATTTATACTTAAGTGTTTCTTTTTTTCTGTCCAGTATAAATAGTATCGTTTTTTTAATTTCAAATTCCACTTTTTTATTGCTGGTACATGGGAAAACAGTAGACTTTTGTATAGGTGACCTTGAATCCTGTGACCTTACTATATACTCCTTTATTAGTTCCAGGGTTTTTTTTTAAATGTCATCTGCAAATAAAGACAGCTTTGTTTCTTCCTTTCCAATCTGCATGCCTTTATTTTTTAAATCCCCACTTGAGGATATTTTTCCATTTATCTTCAGATAGAGTGGGAAGGGGCGGGGAGAGAGAGAGAAAGAGAGAGAGAGAGAGAGAGAGAGAGAGAGAGAGAGAGAGAGAGAGAAAGATGTGAGAGAAACACATTGCCTCCTGCATGACCCCAGCCAGGGCCAGGGATGAACTGCAGCTGAGGTAGGTGCCCTTGTCCAGAATCAAATCCATGACTCTTTGGTCCGTGGGCCGATGCTCTAACTGCTGAGCCAAACAGGCCAGGGCAATCTGTATACTTTTTATTTCTTTTTATTGCACTATCCAGGAGTTCCAGTATGATGATTGAATAGGAGGTGTAAGAAAAGATGTGTTTTTACCTTGTTCCTCATCTTAAGGGAACTCATTTATTCTTTTAGCATTAAGTATTATGTCAGCTGTAAGTTTTATTTTGTAGCTGTTATTTATCAAGTTGAGGACATCCACTTCATTAATATCTATCTATCTATCTATCTATCTATCTATCTATCTATCTATCTATCATCTATTCCATCTTTATTGAGTTATAATTAACAAATAAAATTGTCAGGTATTCAAAGTGTATATGTGAAAGGATTAACAATATATTCAAATTTTATTTGGTGAAACTTTTAAATTCTACATAGCAAATGTCAATTTTACAGTGTCACAACCATAGTGACAATGTTATATATTAGATCCTTAGACCTCATTCATTTTACAACCAGAAGTTTGTACCCTTTTACTGCCCTCTCCCTTTATCCACATCCCTCATCCCCTGGCAACCACTTATTGCTCTCTATTTCTATGAATTCTTTTTTATTTGATTCCACATATAAGTGATACAATGCAATATTTATCTTTCTCTGGCTTATTTCACTTAGCATAATGCACTCAAATTTCATTGATGTTGTTGCAAAAGGCAGGATTTCCTTCTTTCTTTTTCTTTTCTTTTTTAGGCTGAGTAATGCTCAATTGTATATATGTACCACATCTCCTTTACCCATTCATTCACTGATAGATACTTAGGTTGTTTCCATACCTTGGCTATAGTGAGTAATGCTGCCATATTCATGGGCATGCAGATCTCTCTTTGAGATAATGACTTCATTTCCTTTGGATATATACCCAGAAGTGGTATTTCTGGATCATATGATAGTTCCATTTTAAATTTCTTGAGGAACCTCTATACTGTTTTTCATAGTGGCTGTACCAGTTTACAGTTCCACTAACAGTGCACAAGGATTCTCCGTCCTCTATGTCTTCACCAACATTTGTTCTCTGTAGTCTTTTGGATAATAGACATCCTGGCAGGAGTGGGATGGTGATCTCATTGTGGTTTTGATTGGCATTTCCTGAGTAATCACTAAGGCTGAGAACCTGTTCATGTACCCGTTGGGCATTTGTATGTCTCTTTGTAAAAATTTTTATTTGGTTCCTCTGTCCATTTTTAAATTGAGTTATTTGTATTTTTGGTATTAAGCTGTATGTAGTTTTAAAAATTTTAGATATTTACCTCTTATTGGATATGTGGTTTGCAAAAGTTTTCTCCCTTTCCATAGACTGCCTTTTCATTTTGTTGATGGTTTTCTTTGTTATGTAGAAGCTTTTTAGTTTGATATAGTTCCAATTTTAATTTTTGTTGTGTTTGCTTTTGTTGTCAAATAAAAAAAAATCACTGCTAAGACCAATATCAAGAATCTACTCCTTACATTTTCTTTTAAATGTTTTATGGTTTTAGGTCTTCTATTCAACTCTTTCATCTATTTTGAGTTGGTTTTATTTTGTATACTGTATAAGATATTATATGGTCCAGTTTCCTGAGAGTTTTTTAAAAAAATCATAATAAATACGTATTAAATTTTGCAAAATGTCTTCTTTTTTTGCATCAATTGATATGATTATATGGTTTTTCTTTTTTAGTTTGTTGATATGGTGGATGACATTAATTGGTTTTCTAATGTCAAGCTAGCCTTGCATTACTGGAGTAAATACTGGTCTTGGTGTATAATTTTTATTATACATTGTTGGTTCCTATTTGATAATAGTTTGTTGAGGATTTTCTCTCTGTGTTAATGAGAGATATTGGCCTGTAATTTTCATTTTGTGTATTGGTTGGGCATTAAGAGAATGCTGACCTTATAGAATAAGTTAGAAAGTGTTTTCTTTGCTTCTGTGGGTACAGTCTAGTCCAAAAGGAAGTGAGAATGCTGGGCACTGTGTGTGGCTGGCATCTGTTGGGCTGAGTGTGGGTACTGCCACTGCATCTATCACCTCCAGTTTCTGGTCACCCCAGATCTGACTATTACTCAGCTAAATCCTGGGGTCTTTGGATCCTAGAACAGACATGGTTTTGTCCCCACAACTTTTGAGGGACTCTGAAGATAGATGCCCCTAGCCCTCTCTGTCTAGATAGCTCCCACAGCCGTTTCCACTCTAGAGAAAGTTATCCACCACTTCGAAATAAGAAAAGTATGGCTGGGTGTTCTTTAAGATGAATTGTGAAGCATCATTGAACAAGCACTCTTATAAATCATCAAACTCTTTAGGGCAGCATTTCTCAACTTTTTGTACCCCCTCCAGGAGAAAAATTTAATTACATTATAATTTAATTTTAATTTATTAATTAATTGGCTTGATTTATCCCTAAAGAGAGTGAGTTAATGGGAATATGATTTTTCAGGTAAGGTTGAGCTTTGAAGGGCTACACTCAGAATATACTAAGCCCAGATTCATTTATTTGCCCAAGTTGCATTTGAGAAACTGTTTGGCATGCCAAACCCCAAGGCAGCAAAGCTGTAAAGGGATTCTTGTCACCTACCACTTACAACCTAACCAGGTGGCCCGTTCTTGTCATCAGACCACAGCTTCTCTCAGGCGGTAAAATCCTGTCAGCATTTTACCTCAGCATTTTCCTCCTTGAGCTGCTTGAATCCCAGAAAAAGAGCCCTGAGCACTGCGAAGTGCACCTTTCATGAGTAATTTTGATAAAATGTTATTGCCAAATACGACACTCAGTTTTTGGACTAAGTTGACCAGTCTGCACAGATAAGAACGCCGGCCCAGGACCTGTGTCTGCTGCTGCTGCCTGAGTGTCCAGCCCCCACGAAGTGCCGCCAGAGCCTTTGTAGAGTTAAAGTATGTTTTTCAGAAAGTTGAAAACCTAGCTGCCAGAGAAATGTAGGATGAACTTGTGTCAAAGCTTTTGTATTTTATTTAGAAGCCTTTAAAAAATGTTCAAACAGATTCTAGGTTAGATACAACAAAACTTCTTAATGTCCTACAGGGAAATTTTTCATTTGGTACATACTATTTTATGTACCAGACAAAAATAATTAGCGTTTCTCCTGGACAGAAACCCGTAAGTTATAAAACTTCACAGAATGTAATTACGAGACAGCAACGTCAAATACATCTGTGTTCTCCCAGGTCACCGAGTGATCGTTGGTCAGGCCTGTCAAGCCCCAGCAGGACACTGAAAGGGCACGGTTCCTTCCCTTTGCCTTATCTCCAAGTTTTGGATAATACTCTATCTTAATAGCCGCTCTTTGAAATACTGGTGACAGTGTCTAAAATGTATCTCTTAGTAATAAATGCTGCTATGTCAGTGCTTTGGGCATGAAAAAATATAAATACACATATATATCACAATAAAAAATATAAATACACATATATATCCCACCACATGCTACAGGAATGCCTTAGCTTGGAGGAGAGAGCTAATGGGGAGGTAAAGGGAATTAGTAGTATTTTGTGTCATAGAACTTCATGTTATTATTAGTGTTATTAATGTAGATTGTCCAGGTCAGCACTGTGGGGCCCTGGGCCCTGGGAAGAACCCTCTATCTTTTTTTTTTCCAAAGTCGGTTCCCTTTATTAAATGTTTTTTTTTTCACAGACCAGAAATACACAATAAAAGTAGAAATAGACCCCAGTTAGGAGCTATAGGCCTGACCTCACATGACCCCTGCTGCCTCAATTTGAACAGGATAAGAAGCAGCTACATCCCTGAGTTTGGGAAAGGAGGACAAGGATTTGAACCCCAACTACCCTGCCTCCCATCTAATCTCTCCCCAAACTATAAAGAGCCATCTTGTGAAGCAGCAGCGGAGTAAGGCACTTCCCTTGCTGTTCCAGTGAAGTGCATACCCCCAGGAGAGCTTGTTCAGATGGCACAGAATCCAAAGGCTACATTTCGTATGAGAAACTGGTACAAAAACATGGGTGGGGAGGCTGGGGCTGTGACAGGACAAGCCCAAGGAGAGAATTTCCCTCCTGTCTACTCATCAGATCCCGACACCGAGTCTTCTGAGCTGGGGGCAGTACTGGCTAGTTCCTCTTCTTCAGAGTCCTCACTCCACCTTCTCTTCTTTTTGCTCCTGTTCTCTCCTGAAGGGTACTCATCACTGGACACAAATTCTTTACTCTTGAAGCTCTCGCTGAGCTGCCTTGACGATGACTTGGATGACGAGCTCCTAGAGGGTGTTGACTTCTTTTCCATCTTTACCTTTACTTTCTTCTTCTTCTTTGACTTGTCCCTCTTAGAAGACTCACCCCTGCCCCCTTCATATTCTTTCATGGCTTTTTCCTATTCCCTCCTGGCATCCTCAGCCTTGCGACCCCATTCCTCTTTCTTCTCTTTGGACATTCCCTTCCATATCTCGCCTGCCTTCTTGGAAAGATCTGTGATACTGATGCCAGGATGGTCTGACTTGATCTTCTCTCGGCTAGCATTGAGCCATGGCATGCAGGCAGACATGGGCCTCTTGGAGGCATTGGGATCTTTGCCCTTCTTCATCTCCATAGGCTTCTTGTGGCTCTTGCGATCCTTGGCCATCTTGGCCTTTTTAAGCTGTCTGTTTCTTCTCATCCCGGTCACTGTCACCCTCGTTACTAGAAGAGCTGGCAGAGGCATTGCTGTCAAACTCCTCTGCCACGTCTTCCTCCTCTTCACCTGGGTTGAATGACTCATCAGTCTCTTCCCCTGAGTCATCGCTGCTGTCATTGGCATTCTCTTCCTGGATCTTGCCCTCCTCCTTCATCCGCTCCAAGTAGGCATCGTGCTGATCTTCATCAGAGTCGGCATAGTCATCGTAGCTTGGGTTCATGCCCTTTTTCAATCCTCGGTTTTTGATGCTGAGTTTTTTTACATTGACAAAATCAAACAGCTTCCCATACTCCTCCCTCTCAATGCTGCTGAAGGTTTACTGAGCGCCCTGCTTGGTCTCAATTTCAAAGTCAAAGGAACGTGTCGTGGTGGTGCCACGGGCAAAGTTGACAAAGGAGATCTCATCGAAGCGGATGTGCACAGGTGGCTTGTGGACATAGATGAAGCCCCGCTCCAGTGGGTACAGCAGTCCTGAGCTCTCCTTGTAGGAGCAGGTGATGCACTGGGCCCCGGGGTGCTCTTGGAAGTTCCCCTTGGGACGTGATCTTGCGGTTCACCAGCACCTTCATGACCTGGTTGACCATCTCATAGAGGAATCCTGACAAGTTCTTGGTGAGCCGCCCCTCATAGCGCTTCTCCACCTCTTCCTCATTCATGTTGAGAGTCAAGGAGATGTCCTCATCCTTAGAGAAGAGGAGGATCAGGAAGTGGTAACGGGTCTGGCCCTGCTTGATGGGGGGATCCAGGCTGATCACAAAGAACATCTGGTGCTGATCCTTGTGGGGCAGCAAAAAGAGGTGCAGCACTGTTGTGTAGGGGATTGTGAAGGTCTTACCATGCAGGTGCAGAAAGGTGGGATAGATCCGAATGTCGTACTGCCCTCGGGGAGTCAGACACTGCAGTTCCCGGAAGATGCAGATGGCGTCTCCAGTGGCCTGGATCACATCTGCCTTAGACAGCACGTTCTGAGCAAAGGCCTCAACAGGGTCCACGCCATCCTCCTGGGTGGGAGGCATGTAGAAGCGCATCTCTATGAGCAAGACTTCTGCGTTATCATTCTGGTGGAACTCCAGTGTCACCTCATTCTTGCCTGTGGTGCACTGGGACACATTGCTGAGGGGTATCTCGAAGACCAGCTGGTCGCCAATGTCAAAGGAAAGCAGCTGCCCACCAAACTTCACTGTTCCCCAGTTCCTGCCCTTCACACATAGGTCCTTCTTCATTAGCTCAAGGCGATAGTGGGTTTTGAAGAAATCAGAGAGTTTCTCAAACTCCGATTCTCAGAAGCCATCATACTTGTAGACATGGCCGTTCTTTGAGAGCAGTTTAAGTCCATGGCCCAGAGCCACACGGCGCCAGATGCCTTCCATCAACTCCCCAGACTGGATGTTGTCCACTTTGCCAGTCTTACTGTTCTTAAAGATGATGCCCTGGCAGCTCAACCTCAGCCGATCATCATTCATGGAGCCTTTCACTTCCTGATAGATGTCATTGAACTCCAGTGTTTCTGCCATGCTGACCTGCCCCTTTTGGCCTCAACTGGGAGCTGAGCCTCAATTCCTGCGTGGGTGTGCAGATACTCAGCAGGTTGGGAATCTCCTCAAGCAGCAGCCTCGCGATGGCCCTAGTGCGGGCGGTGGGAGCGCTGAGGGACGCAGGTGGGGGGAGCAGGGACACTGGGGATGTGGGGACACTGGGGAAGCTTTTCCTGCATGCACGAACCAGCGTCCCACCACTGGAAGCTGTCAATCCTCTATCTTTTCAAGTGTTCTTTCTCTGTTGGGTAAGACCAGCCCAGAACAAATCTGAAGCTGAGCATTCAGCAGCACAAGCTGTATTTACCAGCCGGAGAATGGAGAAGTGGGAGTCAAGGTCACAGATCATTTCTAACCCCAGAGAAGTCTGGGGGAGATGTGAGGGCAATAAAATAAAGGGGAGGCCTATGCCTTAATGAGGGGTGGGTCTCTTTCTGAAATTGGAGCACCACCCTCTTTTTCCTTCCATGGTCCCAGTAGGATCTGGCATGGTGCAGGCACGTGTGTGCGTTAGCATGCCAATGTATTATAATCAGGGCAGAATGAGGTGCAGGGTCTCCTGGAGGTCAGATTCAGCACCATCTTGGTTCAGGCCGGCTCTGGTTGGATTTTGTTATTCTAGTCCTCTTTCTTCCTTTGTGTTTTTCCTGTAACTGAAATGGAAAGATCAGTACACAAGATTTTACCAGGGCCTATATGATTTTGGACTCAAAAAAGATTTTGGCTTAGCTTTGGCTGGTTTGGCTCAACAGTTAGAGCATTGGCCCGAAGACCAATAAGTCCCGGGTTTGATTCCAGTCAAGGGCATGTACCTCAGTTGTGGTTCACCCCGGCCCTGGTTGGGGTCATGCTGGAGGCAACCAGTCGATGTGGCTCTCTCACATCAATGTTTATATCTCTCCCTCTCTTTTTCTCTTCCTCTCTCTCCCTCCCTTCCACTCTGTCTGATGATAGAGAAATATCCTTGGATGAGGATTAAAAAAAAAAAAAAAAGATTTTGGCTTAGCTCAGGTTGAAAAGAGTGAAGAAAACAGTTTGCTTGGATCCTGTTTCAGACACTGACTAAATGCATGACTTGGGCAAGTCATGTAAGATTTCTGTGGGTGGCAGCTTGTCTCCAAAGATGGTCCCCAGTGAACTCTGCCTCTACTTTAACTCCCTCGTGTGGTCCCCTGTGGGCGTCAGTGGGATGTGGACTGGCTGTGCCTCCTGTAATGAACAGAACGTGGGAGAAGTAACACTGCTGACCTCATACCCTCACAGAAACTCCATTCCTTTGACGTGGCCCTGTCTCCTTTCTGTCCCTCCATTCCCTTCTTTAATCATTAACCCTAAGAACATCAGATTCTGGTCAGCATCAAGCTGTCTTAAGAACAAGGCCTTAGGTCTATTGACCACAGACAGAATTGCAGCCAAGCTGAAGATATCTTGCCTGTAGTTGTCTTTCAGCCCCAGGCCCATGCAAGCAGCACAACAACCCCACGGACCACACCCTCCTGAAAGCAGAAAGAACAATGCCATGGCTGACATCAGGCCCTGATACATGATCAACTACTCCCTGGCCTGGCCCCATCCAATCAGTAGAGCACACAACCCTGACTCCTTTAGCCAGCATGATCAATATTTTCTCCCTATATTCCCCATCCCTGGAAGCCAGTGGGAGCCAGGTCTTTGAGCACTGGCTTACCTGTGGCTCTGGGTTGGCACCGTTTCCTCAACTGATAAACCCTGACTGTGTTGGCTGCAAACACTTGTTTGAGTTTCACTGGGCTTTGATGGACACAGGAAAACAGACCCCTGTAGTCCAGTAACAACCAACAACCTCAGGAAGGCCGGCCAGCCTCTGCTCTTGTGGTCTTAGAAGCCAGACTGTGCTTAAGAAGTCTGACTCCTGCTGAAGACAGAGGCCATGGAAAGGGGCCTGGACGACGAGGGACTGTGTGGAGAGGGAGGCCTCAGGGTGGAGCTCTGAGGGATGGGACACGTGAGTGATGATGCCACCTTGGACGCTCTAGTCCAGTCAAGCCTCAGAGGACGGCAGATCCTTCATCACATGAGGAGAAGCACAGAAGAGACCCCAAGTGAGTGCGGCGGAAGTGCTCAGCTGAGCCCATGAACCCACAGAATTGTGAGATATTCAACTGTTGAATAGCCATTACACTTTCAGTCGTTTTGTTACGTGGTGCTAGGTAACCGAGACACTGTTAGCAGCAAAGACTTCTAGAACTCCCTCCCGGATGGACTGAGCCTCTGCCGGACACGGGCGCACGGTGGCTGGCCCCGGAGAACGGGCACTCAGTGCTCCTCCTCCGAGAGGAAATGCTTTGCTAACTCTGAGAGAAGTGGAAACACTAGTTTGTGGAAGTAACCTCTTGGAAAAGAAAATGAGGAATTTTAACAAGTTTCTCTTTACCCAAAAGGAAAATTGCAGCCCGGTTCTAAAGGAACCCAAGTCTGCTAAATACTGTGTTCTGCTGTCCTCAGGTTTCTTGGTTGGATTCTTTCATGTCACTCAGGCTCGAGCTGAAACCCCCTCTCCTCACGGAGCTCGGCCCTCGCCCTGCCCGCCTCCTCGGCCCGCTGTGCATTTGTCGTCTCTGTCGAGCGTGTTGTCTTCGTGAGGACGAGGACTTGGTCTCTCCTGCTCACGTAACAGCTCCAGCCCCAAGAACATTGCCGGGAACATATTTTCTAGTCAAGCCATGCTTGTTTAATGGACTAAAGTGAATTCTTACTATTTCCCAACTTGGGAGAGAAAGATTAGAAATTTGAAGGACCTTGGGGGTCCCAAGAGGAAACTCCCAGGAAGGAATGAGCCTTGTGTTTCTACTTGGCTGCATTGAGAGAGATGCTACAAAAACGCGAAGTAATTTAGGGATAAACCTCTGTAATGGTGAAAACACTGGAGCTAAATGACTTAAAAATAAGCAAACAAAAATCCATTTACAACAAACGAAAGATGATTTAGGGATAAACCTCTATCATGGTGGAAACACTGGAGCTAAATGCCTTAAAAAAAACAAGCAAACAAAAAGCCATTTTTAAAAAAGCTAAAGATGTCATTGCCAAACAAAGACAGACTGTGCAAGAAGCCCCCAAGGGTGGAGTCGACGCTAATGAGGAAGAGGGTTTTTGGGGTAAAATTAAGCTTAATTGCAAGGATGAAAAGTTGTGGGCATATTCTTTTCAAAGAAGCCAAGGATGTTACTGTTTCTTGAGTTACTGTTAAGTTGTGCAAATCAGCGGAAAAGATTCCTCAGGGAAGAGTCCGGAGTGACACTTGGTGAGAGGTCCTGGATGCCCAAATAGATCTTTTCCATCTCTGTGTGGACGGTTTTATTGCCTCATCACTGAGAGCTCAGAGAAAACCTGAGAATGGAAGAATTACTTAAAGATGAGATTTACTAGAGCAACAAAATATTTGTTTTCTAAGGAAACCTGGTTGAAAAACAAGGTTTATAAGATTTTAAACAAAAACATACTTTATTTAAAAAATACAAGAGTCTCATGATTGTTTAAAAATATTTGCGCCTACCCCCAAATTAACCAAACTCTCCATAATCTTGCCTGCAGAGTAATTTTTGAATTCGGAAGAACTATCCTTTGAAAATGTGTTATTCAATACAAAATAAAACTAAACTCTCCTTCATTTAAATTATTTAGAATAGTGAATTTTAGTATTTACTGACACTGTAAATACTGAAGATTTCCAAGCTCTTCAGTGAAATATCAGTAAAGAAACATCAGTATCAAATGCCGCCTTAGATGTGGTTCTCAGTTTTTCTCAAAGAATTTTCTAAAACTTCCAACCTCAAGCTGCTTCTTTCTGTCCACTGTTTGCTCTGTGTTGGTGGCTTAGTTTATGTTTTATGAGCCATCTGCTGAGTCCAAGATGCCCACGTTGTGTTTGTCCTTAGAATCTTTTTTTGAGATCCAGGACAGAGGCAGGAGAGGATCTCACCAGGTCCTGAAATATCACAGGGAAGGAGAATAGCAGGTCATGGAACCGCACAGAACAACAGCTGTTGCAAAAGACATACAAACACACACTTGATTCTGAGTTGAATCTTCTCAGCTCTCTACTTTTAATCAGCAAGGGTCTTCAGAAATCATTCAGTCTCCATTCTGACAGCCAGTGACAGAGACAAAAATTATGTCAGATTTGAAAGAAACCTATAAAGTGGCCTAATGTTATAGACAAGGACACCAAGGCCCATAGAAGTGAAACAATGTGTCTTGTGAGCCAGAGTGAATTATTAGTAGAATTTGGACAAGGGTGTGAATAACCTTTGGGTGACACTTAAGAAAATATTTTGGTGCAAGGAAATCATGGACAGTCTTTGTATGTCGTGACCTTGTATGTCTCTATATATCTGTCTAGCTGCAAAATGTTTTGTACAAAATACACTTAGGGGCTTTCAAACTATTAAAAGTGTTGTCTCTGAGTCCAAATAATAGATGTAAGGGAACCTCTGGGCATATGGAAACTAGTTCATGGCTGTCTCTCATAGTTTTGTTAATATGATAGATGCCCCTAGTTTACAACAATAAAAAACTGTTCTCTGTTCTATTTGATTACCACCATGCCATTTTTCTTCCTAAAGGAACACTTTCCTTCCACTTCTTCTGGTATTTGTACCCACATTTCCATATAATATGCTGTTTTAGAGAACTAGCAGTACAGCCTAGTTATCATTAATTTTAGACATCATTTGTTAGCCCTGCGTGAAGGAAGGTGGATGAGGGGTGTGTGTGCTGACTTGACCTTATTCCAGGAGCAGCTTCTACAACAAAGGCCTGGGCTAGGATGCTCAGGACCCATCTGTCTGGGAAAAGTCACTCTCCGTTTTGCTCGTCGGTACTTTTAGGATATTAAAGAAACAACGGATGTGAAGGTTCTGTCTGTGATTCAAAGTAGCAAATTAAAATACGTGCTGTTGACAGCTCTAGGAAAACGACGTTGGTGGCTACGATGGAGT